TTTAATTTTTGCCGACGTTTCGACCCACTTTGCAGGTCGTCTTCAGGGCTACAAAAGATACAAACATGTTGAAAAAATAAAAATAAAATAAAAAATAAATATAAGTATATATAAATTACGAAGAAGTTGTCAGATACAGAAATAAAAGATAAAGAAAATAAATACATGATAAGAAAATAGATAAAAGAAAATAAATACATGAATGTTAACGAATAAATAAATGTTAACGAATAAATTGATTGAAAATTGAATAACTATTGTTACAGTAAAGTTAAAATATGGATAAGATAACATAATAATAAGATATCAGTGGATAACAAGCAAGTGGAGGTTACCTTTAATTGTAAATAAACAGATAACGGGACCAAAGGTTAAGAAGTGAAGAAATTGAAAGATTAATAGGGTAACATTAGTGTAATATTGTTGGGATAGATTATTAAGTATAAATAACTCTATAAGAAAACAATAATTTTAAAAGAATACTTTAAAATGTAAGAATAAATGTAAAAACAAGGTTATGATGATAAAGAAACAAAAAACAGGTTGTACTATATATAGATGACAATTGACATTTAGTTTTTTGAAAGCGGTAATGGAATGGTAGGCTGTATGAAGATAATAATAAGGTGTATAGTTGAAGGATAGGTGTGTTAAGAAAGGAATCTCAATAAAAGTCAAAACATACCGTTGGATGTGGCACTGCGGGAGGCGGTTGAAACACTGGCAGTGTCAAAAACTCTAGTTAGCAGTGTCAAAAAAAAGTTCTAGTAAAAATAAACGCATACATACATACACATATATACACGTACAAACACACACACACACACACACATATATATATATATATATATATATATATATAAAAGGAGAAGTAAAAGAAAGTATAAATGGAAGTGAGAAGATTAAATAGAGGTTTATGATCGAGACTTTTTTTTTATTTTTTTTTATTTTATTTTATTTTATTTTATTTTTTTTTTTTTTTTTTTTTTTTTTTTTTTTTTTTTTTTTTTTTACGAATGATTATAATTATCATTCGTTAACATTTTAATTTTTATGCAATTAATTGATTTTATAGTTATATTTTTTTATGTTTGGTGCCACATTGTTGTTTATTGATTAAAGATAGATATTTAGTGGACGGTTGAAATATATTGAAATATGGGGCTTTTTCTATCTGGAGGGGAGCAAACTTTGTCTATTTACTTAGATACTAAAAATTCGTAAATACCCATTTGCTTTCTACTTAGGTCGTAAGATGAATTGATCACAAAATCGATAAAAAAGGATTGCCGACGTTTTTGCGATAGCGCCCTTGAAATCCTATCTTATTTATTGTTTAATTGATTTTTGGTCTTGGTTTAAAAAATAAATTGAGCTTTAAAGTTACAATTTACTATTTCCTTATTTTTCATTCGGTGGTAATAAAATTTATTTGGGACATAGATAACTTGGTTGTGAGTGATTTCCGCGTGAGAACTCAATTTGCCCAAATTTGTTAGAACCTTTTCAAACCATGGTCACGATATGTCAACAAAAATTCCTTTCCTTTAATATTATTTTATTAACTCCGACAGTTAGGTTTCATTATATATTCATAAAAATGTGTAAACATCAAGTTGCCAAGTGGTTTATTGAAATAATAATGTTTTAATTCTTTACGGATTGATTATAATGTTTATTTCATTCTTGAAAATGGCTCATGAAGCCGAATGAATACTATGATATTAAAAGATAAAAAAAAAAATCGTGATCTTTGGTAATAAACTTAATAAATAATATTAATTAATGTTTATATTAGGTAATGTCCTCGATTTTACTAGATCATTTCTGCTGATTCACGTAGGAATGACTTTTTAATTGATTCTGTCGGCAATAATGACCTCGCGAACATTATTCCTTAGCACATTGTTACATTACAACTTTTTTTTTTATTTCAGGCACTGCAGTTTTAGATGTATCTACTAATTTAAGTGATGTCTTTTTAATTGTTACAAAGATAATAATGACATATACGTTACATTTCAGCTTATTAATTATTTTATCCGAAAATAGCTCCTTTTTTATATTTCATAGGTTTTTTTAATATACATCTCATATAGGTACTCTATCTCTTTAAAATCGGTTACTTTTTTATTTTTTTTTATGGATTTTTATACATCGGCCTATTGACTAATACACCAAGTCATATAAAGGAATGCTTAAAAGTTGATACTATTTAATGCGATAAGGCTAAATAAGGCGTAAATAATATTTGTTCATGTAAGGATAATTTTTTTTATCAGAGGTAAATCATAATATAATTATGACAATTCCATACACGAAATATATTTTTTTTGTAGAATTTCCAAAATTTAATAAATAGTTTCACGAACTACTTCTTTTAAGTAAAGGTAAAGTTTTTGGGTCTCCGCATAAAATATAAGCGCATATAATATAAAAAATAGTGGATACAAAAAAGAACAGTTAAAAAAAAAGAAAGTAAACAACAATGATTTACTTAGTGGTATTAAGTAAATGATATTTATTGGATTACTCCTTATATTGATCACGCTCGTAATACTCTATTCTAGAATTATTAACTACTGCTTGATATGTACAAAAAATAAAATATTTCGTGATGATTATAGTGATTAATCTTTTAAAATACAAAAAAATCATCATCGATAAGAAGATTAATTGGGGTATTCTGTCAAAAAAAAAAAATGTAAAAATAAAGATGGTATATTTATTGTTATTTTTGCCGAGGTTTTGGCCCAAAGTTCAGGCCTTCATCAGGGCTAAGAAAAAAAATATAAATAATAATATAAATGGTAATATATACATATTATCTGGGGTTTTTTTCTTAGCCCTGATGAAGGCCTGATATTTGAAACTTCGGCAAAAATAAAAATAAATATAATTTATTTATTTTTTCATTTTTTTAACTGAACACTCAAATCAATCTTTTCTTCAATTATTTACTACAATCAGGCACTATTACAAGTTAGTCGACTTGGATAGGGTTGCCTTAGCATTAATTTTCTAGTTTGTTTATTTAGTACATGTATTTATGATTTGTCAATTTTTGATCAGCCACAGATAAGTGTATTTGTTAAACGTATATCATTAATAATAAAAGTAAGTAATGATTTATTTATATAAGTGTACACAAAGTGAGAAGGAAACTGATGATTTATTAATAGAAATAAGAACTAAAAGAAATTATTTATTGAGTGCTATAGAATTTAACCTATTTAAACAAGAATCATTAGCTTTTTTTAAATATTTAATTTAGGAACCGAAGCATAGTATGAATACTATATATTATTTTAAAACATTTTATTTTTTTAACTATTGAAGGAAGCTAATCGACTGTTCTACATATCATGGGTGACAAATATTCAGGACGCAATCATTATAAATATTGTGTATTGTATTGTATTGTTTTTAATATTGTGTATTGTAATAATAGTTAAAATTCAAGTACCATTAATCACTATAGTTTATTATTTACCATTATCGGTCGTACAATATTATGTCTCTAATTGTATTTTAAAATTGTCAGTCGTGATGATGACCCACATGTTTGGATTGGACCGTAGGCACAAATAAAAAAAATGTATAATGACTCCGTCCTGAATATTTATCACCCATTTTAATTTTTTCTGAATTTTTCGGTGTTATTTTGTTTTATGAGAATAAAGCGAATGAAACTTCGATTAGGTTCTAGATTTTTTTTTTTTTTTTTTTTTACCAGTCTATCGTAAGAGCTAAGGTATAATCGATAGATCTAATTCAATTTTGAGATAACAAAGAGGGTGGTTTTGTACGAAAAAATCTTTATTAAGATATATTACAATCTGTCACATCTAAGGACAATAGTAATAGTGATCATTCAGACTATGTACAATAAATAAAAATTAATAAACATCAAAATAATAATACTAAAAGTAAATGTATATAAACTAAACTTATCAAAATAACTACTTTAATACACAAATGTTTTTATAAAAAGGGTGTTAATAAAAATAATGAAACTATTGTTCCTAAATGAAATGTATTATTTTTAAAGAAGAGAAGAATAGTTGGGGTGATCAGTCAAATAAGAAGGCAAAAATAAATATTTCTTGTAAAGGGAATATGTAAAAATCATTATTCAAATATATTACAATCTATCACATCTAAGGACAATAGTAATAGTGATCATTCATAACACTATGCACAATAAATAAAAATAAATAAACAGCAAAATAATAATACTAAAAGTAAATGTATATAAACTAAAAGCAACTAAACTAATCAAAATAACTACTTTAATACACACTTGTTTTTATAAAAAGTGTGTTAATAAAAATTATTATTATTATTTTTAAAGAAGAGAAGAATAGTTGGGGTGATCAGTCAAATAAGAAGGCAAAAATAAATGATAATATTTATTTTTACATATGCCAAAATAAAGGGCATATGTAAAAATAAATATTTCTTGTAAAGGGCATATGTAAAAATAAATATTATCATTTATTTTTGCCTTCTTATTTGACTGATTACCCCAACTATTCTTCTCTTCATTATCCACGACAGTCAACCATTAACCAATTATTATTATTTTTTATTTTAGTGATGAATGAATTATTTTAAACCTATTTGTAAATGTAATTGGCAAGTTCTGAAGATGGGGAATATGATTATGGACGAAATGTTATGATGGATTTATTTTTAATGAATAAACGACTTTATGGAAATTTTATCAATAATGCGAACTAGTAAAGGTAAAATAAAGTCCGAGGGACAATATGGAGGTGGAGAGAGCATGGACGGCTGTTAGGAGGGAATGAGTAGACTTGAATGGGCCACAAGAAGGGTAGCCTGGATAGAGTGAGGGAATGTATCGGGGCGATATCGGCGAGGGCTTTTCCCGCCGCTCGGTGCCCAAGCCACGCCCTTCTCCCACTCCCCCCGCCCCTCGGCTACCTTCGGCTGTCCTCGGCCGGCGCACGACCGCTTCCCGGCTTCAGTTCACACCCTACCCTGTCAGTGTGCGTATCATAGTGAGTGTTGCCCCTGTGTTTACCGCTTTACTGTGTTTGTGAGTGCTGTGATGTGATCTGTTCCGCGTTCCGTTATGTGTTCTAAAGTAAGCGCGTCACCGACCGCGGAAGAATTACTTTCTAAGGAGCAGAATATAGAAGAGCCGCCTTGTAAGGAAAAGAAAAAGAAGAAGCATAAGGAGAAGCGTAAGCGTTCCTGCTCTACCGACTCCACGTCTTCTAATTCTTCTCATAAGCGGCATAAGAAGAAAAAGAAGAAGAGGAAGAAGGAAGAGGACCCTCCATCTCCTAGGGTCAATCCTATCTTTCTTTGGGTCAAGCAAGACCATACTAAAATCGTCGAAGTCTTATGTGAAGATTATGATAAGAGGAATCGTATAAGGCTTACTAAAACAGCTGGTGGATGGGTTGCGATTCCTAGAACAGCAAGACTCTGCCCAATGGCTTCTAATAATGAAGAGACTGTAAACAAAACTACCCCACCCCCTGTTGAAGAGGACGATGAAGATGACGATGACGTCAAAGTAGTGGAAGTTGCAAAGGAGGAACCTGTTGTCATCGAAGTTGAAGATAGTGATGATGAAAATAAAGAAATGGAGTGTACTGAGGACAAATGTTGTGCAGATTCAAATGTCGATGAAAATCACAATAATGAAGTCGAAAGGCCTGTTGAGTGCAATGAGTATTGTGCTGCCGAAGAAGAGGATGAAATTGAAGAGGTAGTCGAAAAAGAGGTCTTGCAAGAGGAAGGTGCCACTAAAACCCATCAAGAGAATTGTGAAAATCTCATGAATGAGTTAGCCGACATGTGTTTTGTGGACAATTTCAAAGAAGAGGAAGAGGATAGAGTACTTGAAGATATATATACATTTGTGCCATCATCTCCCGAAGTTGAAAAGGAGGAAATTGAAAGTTATGTGCCGGTTCATGAAATTAAGAAACCGGCTACTCCAGATCCGGTACCTATTAATCTCGTTGTTCATCCAGATAGAGAAGAGGCAGATACCAAAGTTCTGAAAGAAGAACCGCTGAAACAAAGTGAACTGGAAAGTCTAGACATATTGTGGCGGCTGCCGGAGGGCACCACTATCAGTCATTCCAAGCCCCTTGTAGATGCCAAACCCGCCGAGCAGAGATGCATCCCACAGTTGAAACCTCAGCCGACCTTCTGTCTACCGGTCCAGGAAGAGCCCTTAAACCTTGGAAAGCCTAAACCTAAGGAAGAAAAGAAAAAGAAAAAAGAGGACTCGAAGTTAATGGAGCTTTTACAGACGGAGGAACGGCCGCCAAGTAATGCTCTGGATCAACTGAAAGAAGTTCTGTCGGACCCCGACCTATCCGTTCCTGACCCCCTTCTAGTCCCGCGAGGTCGGTTACCCGCACTCATCGCCAATCCGGCTAAGGAGATACCTAGGCTACTGGCCCAGAAGAGGGAAATAAAATATCCTAAAATCGATGCTGATCTGATGGTAGTATCCCTGTCTCACCTACAGAGTATTCTTCAGAGGTCGGGTGGTGAGGAGGACTTAAAGCCCTATCAGCAGCAAATGGTCAATTTCAGCCCTGAAATGGACCCAGCGACGCTCAATCAGATGCTCTGGCTTCCTTATCTCAGCCAACTAGAAATGAAGCAGAACCAGGAGCTGATGACCATGCTGTACCCTCACTACATGTACCCACAGCAGTACACGCCACCACCCGCCAGGTACCCCTACGCGAGGCCGCCTTGGCCTAGGGCTGAAACCTCCAAGCCGAATCCTCCTATCCCCTCTCAGACCGAGCAGCCGAAACAGAAGTTGAGGCTCAAGGTAAAGGAGCACCTCATCGACCCGAACTTTAAGAGGACCAGCCTACTTAACCTGGACCCGCAGCCATTCATGCCCCCTGTCGGAGTACCGCCAAACTCCAACCTCTGGCATCCTTTATTCAGCAGGTAATATCAAACTTATATTTATATTTTCAACTTGTAAGTTTAATAGGTGTGTATATAAAAACAATTCATCTTAATTTTATAATTTAAACATTTGTTCAGTAACGCTTTAATTTAGGACAAATTGGTTATTTTATGAAAATAAAATATTTCAATTATAATCAAGTGGAAACTTCGTTTTGAATAATGTAAACAGACTTGATTGAAGCCGTGGTTTGTTGACAGCCGTTTGACTGGGGAGATCGCCGGTAGAGGCGCTGCCTTCGGTCGAGGTTATCCACCCTTGGTAAACATCAACAGACTCTCTCAACTACGCTCTCTTATTCAAACAGTCATACTTACGTATTGAAGTTTAAATGTACACTTTACCTTTTCCTAATTATTATTTTCGATTTGAGGCACTATAATTTTGGAAAAATAATAAAATTACATTAATAATTAGTAAATTGACTACCTAATTCGTTTTGAAGGAAGAAATGAGAACAAATATTTGATGATTAGTTATAAACACAATTTAATAAGTTATTATTTATTTTCATTAAATTTCATAAAATATTTGTATGATATTAAACATTATGCTATTATTTTATTTTTATTTTTATTTTCAGTATTTCTTAAAATATTTCTGTTTCTTTCGTCCCCATACTTCTCTTTCTTTATACTTCGGGCTGACGTTTTGCTTCTGTCTTATTGAAGATTGGTTATTTAAGGAATATAAATTCTGGTTATCTTATAATATTGTTATACAGTATTTTGCTTAAAGTTTACACCTTTGTGGCGGTATTATTAAAACAACTAATAGTTATCAGCCAACAGCTGTTTTGCTTTTCTGATGCTTAGCGCCCCTGGTGGCAAGAATCAGCAACATTAAGCCGTCATAAATTCTTGTGTATTACCTCCATTATTTTTGTTCTGTTTTGATCTGTACCTGACCTACTTGCCCTTGTAACTATATTTTCCATTTTATTTTGTTTTGCCAAGCTTATTATTTAAAAGTATTTTTGAAAATGCAAGCTTTTTATTAGATGAATATACCTTTTCATTAAATATCAAATAGTGTAAAATGAGATTAACTTACGAATTTTTCTTTCACACTCATTTGGTCTCGGAAATTTGTCGATAGGAAGAAAAATTGAAATTTCTAATACATTAATTGGCCAAAAATTTTAGATTTGTGGAATTATTGCTGATTTTTGAAGTTATAATAGAAATTTATTTTTAAAAAACTTACTTTATTTTTTTTCAGCAAATATTTTGCCAGTTAAGTAAAATGTTTCAAGTCCACGATACGACTTTTAATATTTAAAAATAATAATAATAAAAGGAACAAATATATATGATAAGTTTCTCCATGATATTACAATACCGTAAATACCAAAGGATTAGTATTGACTCATCTACTTATTTATCCAAGATACAAAAAAAAGTACCTTATGTTTTAATTTATGATTTTTACAACTGTATTATTATAAATACATCAAGTAAATGTGTACAGAGGAATATAATCGCACGAAAATGCTTGTTGAAAAACAACCCATTGGTGACACTCTATCCTTATTAAAAATACATTTTGGGTTCTTCTTTGCAGTGTGCTGTCGCTGAGCACCCCCTAAACATAAGTGATCCATAACAGTGTCTCTGTATTTTTAAATATATTGTTTTATAACGAATTATTGTAATTATCATTCCTATTTTTTTTTTTTTATCTCTAAATATTTAGACTTGATATTCGCTCTAATATTGGTCTTGAGTTTTTGTTAGCTGGACTGTAAACTACTTTCTAACAGTCTAGAGTTAAATAGTTTCTTTAAATAATTCAATGTATTTATAGCTTTCGAAAGTTTCTAAAATCATTTATAGGCATCGGGAATCGCTTGCATTAGAAACCGTTCGTAAACTAATGAATGGATCACCGATGGCTCAGCGGTTCTCTATGGGGTTGATGGATCCGCTGGATGTACCTTCATTTTAATTTCAGTTTCGTTATTTCTGAATTTACTTTACGTTGGTATTTTCAATTTACTTTCTACGTATTATTTACTACTTTCTAAGTATTATTTAGTTATTCATGTTTTTAAATTCAACAATTCAGTAAGTAAATATATCTTTAATTTATTTTATAACCTTCCAGGAATAAAAATCTTTCACTGCAATCCAAAAGGTCATTCCTGATCTCAGCATAAATCATCGTCCAACGGTGCTGGATTCAATTGATTGATGGATTCTTAAATTAATTATGAGTTTAAGGGTCTTGTCCGCAATGGACAAGTTTCTAAACTCAGCGCTGAGCTGATCGATATTATGGTTTCCCTCAGTCTAGAAACGGATACGTCACCAATGTGCACCGCGCTGATTTTAGAAATTCATTCTTTACTTGCCCTATTGGGTCATATCGGGCTATGATTAAATGTTTAAACGCTTGTATCAACTTGCCATGAAGGCGGTTTTGCAATATAAATATTATTTTAATTACAATCGTTTCATTCAAAACCAAATGTTCGAGTAAAAAACTGTTTTTTTTTGTATATTTATGGTCAAAATTTAATTACTATTTTTAAAGATTTTGCTTTCGTCTAAATATAACAATAGAATTTGTAGCATAGATGGAAATCTTCCCTGAATTCGTTAGAAGTAAAATCGAATATTTTTTAGTATTAATTATTAAATTAAATTAATAAAAATAGTCAAAACGGAATTTATTTTTGGTCTATTTCTAATAATATATAAATATAATTCAGAATTGACATGTTTAAGTTTTTAAGGTTATTGTTCGTCAATAAATTTTGCTAAAAAACTTTCGATGTTTTTATAAGCTCAAGCCACAGTCGAAAAACAGTGCTGGTAGGCTTCGTTATATCAGGAAAACTTGCATAAATTTAGAAAAAAAAAATATGTATAATATTTTAATATGAAATTAATATAATTGACAATTCTAAATCTTAATTTAATTGTTTGCTGTATTTTCATTTTTATAAATCAAATTACTCAGCTTCTATTTATTTATTTATATATTTTTAAGTACGATTTAGTCAGCTTAGCTGGTTTTTACAAATTATTTTACTCTTATACAAGGTAATGTTGGGAATGAGGTAACTCAGGAGAAGGGCGCTGACTTCCAATACTGAAGCTTTATAGATTCGAATCTGGCAAATGGCAGATGAATTAAATTATTTATTTCGTCTGGTGCGGATCGACGTTGGATTCGGAATACCCTCCTTGGGGCACATCCAGTACAGCTATAAAGTGGTACTCTTAATTAAATAATTAATTAAGGTGGAAAACCTGGCGGTTGACAGTGATTTCGGTCAAATCACCTCCTTGAACAACCGTTGATCAACAAACAGTACTTTCTTACCAAGTACTCAACTCAAAATCCTTCATAGATTTTTAGTGATACAGATTTTTTTAAATGCTAGATAATGTTTTAACACGCGATAATACGTACGTTTTAATGTCCTACAATAGGTACAATTTGTATCGTGTTAACCTAGGTGAAGTTCATTTTTTTTTCCCCTCACGAAGCGGAGACAGGTTCATACTTATTGCTGGCACTCAATCAATTCTCTCTCTCTCTCAATCCATTAGCGGTAACAAGACAATTTAATTTGCTTCCACTAATTCCAGGTTTTATCTTAGTTTTTTATTTCCCTTGGCATCGTGCCGTGTCTTTGTTTCGTGATTAGCTTCTCCGCTGAATTTACACGCATAAAGCGGAGCGTGTGTCGTGATGGAAGTTGCATATATGTTGCCAATTAGCTTGGAATATGATTTGAAATAATTATTGTATTTAGATTTCCAAATGATCGTTGAAGCCATTGTATTCATGGATCATGAGAATTTACATTATAGATGTGTGGCGCCAATGATTTTTATGCTCTTTGATCCTCTCGTTATCCTTCATTCCCTTTTACTTGTACCAAACTACTTTCTAGTTGTTTTAAGTCAGCAATCTATTTACAATGGAAACTAAAGTTTTTATAAATATAGAACATTAAAAAAAATGCTATATAATACAAAACCATTATATTAACTTCCATTATTTAAATTATTTAATTCATTTTTTTTTTTCGCCATAACAAACCTTGTAAATCTTATACCGGCTTAACTAGGTTTATCCATCTGTGCCTGTTTATTTCTTTCCAATTATCTACATTAAGCTCTCTTCTATATTTGTTGATTCGATTTATCCATTTACTTTTTAGATTTCCACGTGGTCTTCTGTCTACTATTAAGATATTCATTGCATAGAGGCTTTCATATCTCCAAGTTATATGCCCCGCTCATCTTAATATCCTTGCCTTCATATCATGAAATATTAAATGCCTAGTTTCGGTTAGCAGCTCCATATTGATCTTTCTTTTCCATGTGTTAGTACTTTTCTTTCAGATCGCTCCGGTAATCTTAAATTTACTTTTATAAACATGATCATTACCTACTGTATTTTGTTTTAATTTTTTGCTTTAGAATATGTCAATTTTAGGAATGATTTGGCTGTTTAGGCACAGACTTTTATCTTGTGCACAAGTTCTTTACCAGCCAACAAAAAAAATATTTTGGTTATTATTTGTCAATAATATTTATTTATACTGTAATATAATTTTTTTATTATATTTATTTATTCAGAAATATAGTAATCTTTCACGCGGACAATAACCATAGGAAAATATGAAAATATTCACACCGTACTTACAAAAAACATAAAATAAACAAAAGCAAAATAATAATAAAAAGTATTTACAATAAATAATTAAATAACTTAAAGATATTTAAATTAAAAACACAGTCATGGAATATATACAATCAGACAAGGGAACCGAAGTCCGGCTTGTCGCTCCAACTATAGAGGGAAAAGCAGGACTCCCATGAGATCCCTGCGTTACTCTCTCAACCGCGTCACTGGTGCTAAAGTCAGTGGGGATTGAGCCAGAGCGCTAACTGTAATCTAATTAATAAAACGAAAAAACAAAACAAAACAATTTCTGAGGTTGTTTCGAATTACTAAA